GAGCGGCCCTGCGGGCGGCGGCGAGCCCGGAGCCGCGGCCGGGAACGGCCGGCGCCGCACCGAGCCCTGCATGAGCCCGGCCCGGGGCTCCCGGAGCCGCTCCCGGAGCCTGTCCCGCTGCCGGGGCCGATCCCCGCTCCCGGCCCGGCCCGGGGAGCAGCGGCGGCTGCGCGGGGGCCGCCCCGGGACCGCCCCGGCGGGGCGGGGGCAGCGCCGGTCCCGCCGCCCGCAGCGCCCCGAGCGCATCCCGGCCGCTCCCGGCACCGGGAGAGCGGCCCCGGGACCGCCCCGAACCCCCGCGATCCCGGAGCATCCCGGCTGGGATGGCAGCCGGGAACAGCGCGGGTGTTCCATCAATCCATGGCGCAGAGCCCGAGGTTTGTTGGGAATAAGGAGCTCTCCGTGGATGTGCAGACGCCGCTTTTCCCGAGTTCCCGTTTCCCGGGGGATGCGGCGCCCGCTGATCCCGGTTTTGGCCGGATGAATCCATCGGGATGGGATCGCTCCCGGCCAGGGGCAGCGGGAGGGACTCGCAGCCCCCGGGGATGGATCTGCTCTCGCTGGGGTTTGGTGGCTAAATCAGGAGGTGCATCCCTGGTGTCCTCAGTGTCCCCTGGTGTGTCCCTTGATGTCCCTTGGTGTCCCCTGGTGTCCCCCGGCCTCCCCTTACTGCTGGTGGCACCCACAGCAGGAGGGAGGTGACAGCTGGGGGCAGGTGACAGATTGTGACACATATGTGAGACATGTGTGACAGATGTGTGACAGATGTGTGACACGTGTGTGACACGTGTGTGACAGATGTGTGACAGATGTGTGACACGTGTGTGACAGATGTGTGACACGTGTGTGACAGATGTGTGACAGATGTGTGACACGTGTGTGACAGATGTGTGACAGATGTGTGAAACGTGTGTGACACGTGTGTGACAGGGCCGGTGACGGTCCCCAGAGCCGGGGTGAAGGTGCTGCCGGTGCTGGGGCAGGGTTGAGGGGATGGAGCTGCTGGTTTTGGTTTAAACAACCCAAAGTGAGCCGAGCCCAGCCCAGCTGAATCTGGCTGAGCTCAGCCCAGTCTGACCCAGCCCAGCTAAACCCAGCCCAGCCAGCTCGGCCCAATCCAGTCCAACCAGTCCCACCGAACCCAGCCAACCCAACCCAAACCAGTCCCACCCAACTCAAGCCAATCCAACCCAAACCAACCCAACCCAACCCAAACCAAACCAAACCAAACCAAACCAAACCAGTCCCACCCAATCCAACCAATCCAGTCCAACCAGTCCCACCCAATCCAACCCAGCCCAGCCTAATCCAGTCCAGTCCCACCAAACCCAGCCAATCCAACCCAACCAAATCCAACCCAACCCCACCCAATCCAGTCCAACCCAACCCAATCCAATTCAACCAATCCAGTCCAACCCAGTCCAACCAACCCCACCCAATCCAACCCAAACCTATCCAGTCCAACCCAGTCCAGTCCAACCAACCCAGTCCAAACCAACCCAATCCATTCCAACCAAACCAACCCAACCCAACCAACCCAACCCAACCCAATCCAACCCAACCCAATCCATTCCAACCAAACCAACCCCACCCAATCCAACCCATCCAACCCAATCCAGTCCAACTGACCCCCACCCAGTCCAACCAACCCAAGCCAACCCAACCCAATCCATTCCAACCAATCTAACCCAACCCAATCCTGCCCAAATCAACCCAACCCAATCCAACCCAACCCAACCCAATCCATTCCAACCAATCTAACCCAACCCAATCCTGTCCAAATCAACCCAACCCAATCCAACCCAACCCAATCCATTCCAACCAACCCAACCCAATCCAACAGCGAAATGATGGAGCAATCTGGGAGGACGGGACTTCATAACCCGAGGCTGTAATTGGACAATTAACTCCAATGTGGAAATGGACCAAAACCTGTCCATTTAAAATAAAACATTAAAAATATTTAAATTATATTTAACATAAAAGTGTGAAAACTCATCTCGGGTGGAGCCACAGCCAGGCTCTTGTACTGCCCAAGGTGCATCCTTTGAAGGCCTTTAATAAATACCAACTTTATTCCTTATTTATTAACTCTGTTCCAGGCAGCCTCTCAAGACATCACTGTCTTGGCCTCCACGCTTCCAGAAAAGATCTGTTCGGGATCGGCTGAGCTCGGCCTCCACACTCTGAGGAGCTTTTCCAGAAAAGATCCCTTCAGGATCTTGGAATGGCCGAGCTCAGCCTCCACACTCTGAGGGGCTTTTCCAGCAGCGATCTGTTCAGGATCAGCTGAGCTCGGCCTCCACACTCTGGAGCACTTTTCCAGAAAAGATCCATTGAGGATCCTGGAATGGCTGAGCTCGGCCTCCCCGCTCTGGAGCGCTTTTCCAGAAAAGATCCATTGAAGTTTGGCTGAGCTCGGCCTCCCCGCTCGGAGGCGCTTTTAGAGCAAAGACCCCTTCAGGACCCCGGAACGGCCGAGCTCGGCCTCCCCGCTCTGAAGCGCTTTTCCAGCCGAGATCCGTTCGGGATCAGCCGAGCTCGGCCTCCCCGCTCGGAGACGCTTTTAGAGCAAAGACCCGCTGGTGATCCCGGGATGGCGGAGCTCGGTCCCCCCGCTCTGCAGCGCTTTCCCCGCCCGCCGCCCGTGCTCCCGGAACGGGCTGGCTCGGCCGCTGTTGCCGGGCGGCCCCGCTGAGCGGGCGGGCGGGCGCGGCGGTTCCGGGGCGGAGCGCGGCGGTGCCGGCCGGGCCCGCGCTCCGGGCGGGGGGGCCGCGCCTTGGCTGCGGGGCCGCGGCTGCGCTGCCGCCGGGGCCGGGGCCGGGGCTGGGGCCGGGGCTGGGGCCGGGGCCGGCGCGGCGCGGGGGGCGGCGAGCCCCGGGGCGGCCGCATGTGCGCCCCGCGGGGCTCCGCGGCAGGACGGAGCGGGCCGGGGCAGAGCCGGGCCGGCCCGAGCGGGGCCGTTGCGGGCGGCGGGGCCGCGCGGAGGCGGAGGCGGCCATGGAGGGGCTGGCGGGGTACGTGTACAAGGCGGCCAGCGAGGGCCGCGTGCTCACCTTGGCCGCGCTGCTGCTGAACCGCTCCGAGAGCGACATCAAATACCTGCTGGGCTACGTGAGCCAGCACGGAGGGCAGCGCTCCACGCCGCTCATCATCGCCGCCCGCAACGGGCACGCCAAGGTGGTGCGGCTGCTGCTGGAGCATTACCGCGTCCACACGCAGCAAACCGGCACCGTCCGCTTCGACGGGTACGTGGGGCCCGGCCTGGGCTGAGGGACAGCGCGGCCGGGAGGGCCTGGTGGGCCCCGGCAGCTCGCACGGTTCTGGGCCTTGCTGGGGCTGGCTCCGGAGCTGAGTGTTCCCGGAGCTGGTGGTGCTCGTGGGGTCCTTGTAGCTCTGGGTTCTGTGGCTCGGTGGTGTTTGTGGGTTCTTGTCAATTGGGACTGTTCTTGGTGGGCCTTGTGGGCCTGTCCAGCTCGGGATGATGTCACTTGATGGCCTTGTGGGCCCTTCCACCTCAGGCTGTTCTGTGACCTGCTGGCTCTTGTGGTCCCACCTCAGGCTGTTCCATGACCTGGTGGTCCTTGTGGTCCCACCTCAAGCTGTTCCATGACCTGGTGGCCCTCGCAGTGTCCTTGTAGCTCAGGGTTTTGTGACCTGATGGTGCTTGTGGCTCTCTTCAACTCAGGCTGTTCCGTGTCCTGGTGCGCCTTGTGGATAACTTCAGGATTCTGTGATTGGTGGTCCTTGCGGTCCCAGCTCTGATTATTCTGTGTCTTGGTGGTTCTCAGCTCAGTTTTCTGTCACTCGATGTCCTCGTGGTCCCACCTCAGGCTGTTCCATGACCTGGTGGCCCTGGTAGGCCCCATCCAGCTCAGCGTTCTGGGATTTGATGGCCCTCGTGGGTCCCTTCCAAGGCTGTCCTGCCATCTGTGATCACTTCCCTGCCCTCTGCAGAGCTTCCAGGATTTGTTTGAAAACATTTCCAGGATTTTTTTGGGAAGTCAGATCTGCTCTCCCGTTTTCCCGGGCCCACAGGGGAGGCTGCCAGGCTTGGGAATGAATTCAAGACATCCCCACCTAAACACCACGTGGGTTTTGGGTCCCACCTGATGCTTTCAGAGCCATAAATTTTCCATTTAGGAATTCCCTGTGTGGACAGGACAATATTCAGAGCCCAGGGAGCTTCTGCTGGGCCAGAATGCCCTTTCCTGGGACGTTTTTGCCGCTGCAGGTGACTCGGTTTTCACAAACCACTTCCCTGGTTGGATTTTAATTCCTTCCTTTTCCCTTCCTGACCTTTGGCTTTTGGGGTTTTTTCCTCCCGTTTGAGAGCAGGTTGAGAATTCCTGGGGTGAGAATTCCTGGAGGAAGGGCCCCCTGACCGGCAGCACATGCTGGATTTGTGCCTGGCTGGGGTGGGGATGTGTTTTCCAGAGGCTGTGCCTGGCACGGATGGAAGGAGGAGCTGTCGGAGGCACAGTGGATGCAGAGAGAGGAGCAGAGCCCACGTGATTCCCGAGGATTGTTGGATAAGGTGGCTCAGCAGCTCCTCTCCTCTGGGCTTTCCACTTGGAACCCCGAAACGCCAAAAAAATCCCCTTGAGTGGGTAAAAAATCCCCCCTCCCGCCTCTCCTCCTGCTTCGAGACAGAAATATTTTCGTGGGATTGCATCCAAAATCAGGAACTTCCCACTGGGAATTCTCTCCGGGATCTCAAAGAGCCTCTGGAGGTGTTGGATTTACAAACAGTTCCTGTGGAGCTACGAGGGCTTCACCAAATGATTAAAAATTAAAAACAAAAGTGAAATTCTGATCTTAAGGAGATTTTAACTTTGGGGCTGTTTGGAAATATTTCTCCTTCCTGTGTGTTTGGGACGTGCCTTGGGGGATGTGTGTGAATCCTGCCCGTTTGTTTCTTCATTTAAATCCTTCAAAAACCTGGGAACGGCAAAGACAAATCCTTTATTTTACCTGCGGGGTTAAGGGAATGAAAACAGCTTAAAGAAAAGGGGATGTGTCCCCTCATTTCCCCGTTATCTGCAGGGCCACGCGGATCTGTGGAACAGCCCAGCTCAGAACTTCTGCTTTTTCAGCTTTTTATTTTCTTCCCGAGGTTCCTTCTGTTGTTGCCTGGATGGTTCAGGGCGCGGGACCTCGATCCGCAGCTTGGGGAGAGGGGAAAGGGGAAGTGAGGAGAAATCCTGAAGCCAGGGCTGTTCCTGGTGATTAAATCTGGGAGGTTTTTTTGTGTCAGAATGTCCATTTGAAGGTTTCTCTTGGTCTGGAACGTGTCACTCGGTGGCACCGAAGGGATCCTTTTAGAGCTCTTCTTCCCAGACCTCTCTAAACCGAGGCCGGAGTTTTGTAAGTGGGATCTTGGAGGTGGCCAAACCCCTTTGGTCCCTTTGGAGCTCTGACTTCCAACTCTCCGTGCGCTCCCTCGGCCTCGTCCCGGCGAGTTCCTGGAAATCCCGGGCTGGCTGTGAAATCCCCGTCGATGGCTGGGTGCGGGAAGCTTTCGGAAGAGCGTCAACCTAATTCCCTGTCCCCGTCTTCCCCTTCTCAGCTTCGTCATCGACGGGGCCACCGCGCTGTGGTGCGCGGCCGGGGCCGGCCACTTCGAGGTGGTCAAGCTGCTGGTGAGCCACGGCGCCAACGTCAACCACACCACGGTGACCAACTCGACGCCGCTGCGGGCGGCCTGCTTCGATGGCCGGCTGGACATCGTCAAGTACCTGGTGGAGAACAACGCCAACATCAGCATCGCAAACAAGTACGACAACACCTGCCTGATGATCGCGGCCTACAAGGGCCACACGGACGTGGTGCGCTACCTCCTGGAGCAGCACGCCGACCCCAACGCCAAGGCCCACTGCGGGGCCACCGCGCTGCACTTCGCCGCCGAGGCCGGCCACCTGGAGATCGTCAGGGAGCTGGTCAAGTGGAAGGCGGCCATGATGGTCAACGGGCACGGCATGACGCCGCTCAAAGTGGCCGCCGAGAGCTGCAAGGCCGACGTGGTGGAGCTGCTGCTGGCTCACGCCGACTGCGACAGGAGGAGCAGGATCGAAGCTCTGGAGCTGCTGGGGGCCTCGTTTGCCAACGACAGGGAGAACTACGACATTTTGAAGACTTACCACTATTTATATTTGGCCATGCTGGAGAGGTACCGCGACAGCGAGAACGTCATCGAGAAGGAGGTGCTCCCCCAGATCGAGGCGTACGGAAACAGGTCGGAATGCAGGACCCCTCAGGAATTAGAGTCCATTAGGCAGGACAGAGACGCCCTTCACATGGAAGGCCTGATAGTGCGGGAGAGAATCCTGGGCTCGGACAATATCGACGTCTCCCACCCCATCATTTACCGGGGCGCAGTCTACGCCGACAACATGGAGTTCGAGCAGTGCATCAAGCTGTGGCTCCACGCGCTGCACCTGCGGCAGAAAGGCAACAGGAACACCCACAAGGACCTGCTGAGGTTCGCTCAGGTCTTCTCGCAGATGATCCACCTGAACGAGCCCGTGAAGGCCAAGGACATCGAGAGCGTCCTGCGCTGCAGCGTGCTGGAGATCGAGCAGGGCATGGCGCGCATCAAAACCACCCCGGACGCCGACATCCACACGGCCACGGACAACTACGAGTGCAACATCTTCACCTTCCTCTACCTGGTGTGCATCTCCACCAAGACGCAGTGCAGCGAGGAGGACCAGTCCCGCATCAACAAGCAGATCTACAACCTGATCCACCTGGACCCGCGCACGCGCGACGGCTCCAGCCTGCTGCACCACGCCGTCAACTCCGGCACGCCCGTGGACGACTTCCACACCAACGACGTCTGCAGCTTCCCCAACGCCCTGGTCACCAAGCTCCTGCTGGACTGCGGCGCCGACGTCAACGCCGTGGACAACGAGGGGAACAGCCCTCTGCACATCATCGTGCAGTACCACCGGCCCATCAGCGACTTCTTGACGTTGCACTCCATCATCATCAGCCTGGTGGAGGCCGGCGCCCACACGGACATGACCAACAAGCAGAAGAAAACCCCTCTGGATAAAAGCACCACCGGGGTGTCGGAAATCCTCCTTAAAACTCAAATGAAGCTGAGTCTCAAGTGCCTGGCTGCCCGCGCCGTGCGGATCTACAACATCAGCTACCAAAACCAGATCCCCAGAACTCTGGAGGAGTTTGTCCAGTTCCACTAGGCCGCCTCCGACCTTTCGTGGTGGTGCTATCCCGGGACGACAGCAGACAGCAGAACACACCCGTGTCCATGAAACCCTTTTTCTCCATCCCTTTGGTTTTGGGTTCCTCTGGATTCCGTCTGCGGCCTCGGTTCTCGGGTGGAGGTGGTGGAGGGGCGGGGGCAGGAAAAGCCACGTCGTTGTCCTCTGGCTGAACCCGATGGTTGAGATTTTGGTCCCTTTCTTTTTTATTTTATTTTAATTAAAGGAATCCCTTCGTTAGCTCTTTTGTTTTCTAAACAACACGAGAAGAATCCCCCAGGTGAATCCCGCCGGACGTTTTCGCGCCCGGCGCGATTGGCGAGATGGGATTTCCGACTCCTGACCGTGAGGCGGGAGAAGAAAACCCGGGAATTGTGCGTCGGTCGGGTTAGGGTTCTCTCGTACCTCGCCGTGCTTTCACGCCCTTCAGCCGGCGCTGAGGACGGCGGTAACGTTTTAAAATCCCCGTTTCCATCCAAAATTCCCTTTTGAGCAGCGATTCCCAACAGCTGCAGACGCGAGGGATGCTCCGTTAGGAAATCCAGGTGGAAATTCAGCTGCCAGGGGTTGAATTCCGTTAGCGAGCTCTTGATTCCCGCTGCTCCAGTAAGTTTTGAATCACCTACGGACAAAAAAAAAAAAAATAAACCCCAAAAACCAAAAAATAAAAACGCAAAAAACTTCGGTGCCGACCGCGAATAACCGGAATCATCGTTTCTTTTTCCGCTCTTCCGTCGCTCCTATCCAAACATCATGCATGGATCCCTAGAAACTGGGTAGGGAATTTGTGTTTGTGTGTGTCCCAACATTTCAAAACCGCTTTTAACTCGGGTTTTTCTCCGTCGTTTCGACGCTCAACACGCACCTTTTTTGTTGTTTTTGTTGGGTTTTTTTTTGTTTGTTTGTTTGGCTCAAAGTCTGTCCGGCTGCACTCGTGGATTCCGAATCTTCCCAACGGAGCCGTCTGCCGCCAAAGAGAGTCTTCCTTGAACCCGGATTTTCCAAGAAGCGTTGGAATCTGTGCCTCCCCCGAATCGGACTCGAGGATTTTTTTTCATGGGTTTTTACTCCTTTGGGTATGGGGGGGGGGGGGAATAAAATAAAAAAAGAAATTAACGAATCTCTTGTTAAAAACTTGATTTTTACAATGAAATCAATAATTCTCCTCTTCATCCAGCTCTTGATGAGCGAGCGATTGTACGGGAACGTCGTGGCCGGAGAACTTTGGGAGAAGCGGCGGATGCTCCGACGGGGAAATGTTGGGACAAGGCTCCCGGAGCCTCCGTTCCTTTGGAACCGTCAGGATGAACGAATGTTCCGTGGGGGGTTTTTTTGGGGTTTTTTTTTTTTGGTTTTTGTTTGGTTTTGTTTTTACAGAAAAAAAACAAACCAAGGATCCGCGTGGAACTTTTGAGGCGAGGTTTGGGGGGCACGCGTTTCTATTTGTACGGCAAAGAAATAAACATTGAATGTGGAATTCGTTTGGGGTTCCTGGGTTTTTGTTTTCGTCACAGGGTTTGTGTCGCTCGGAGGGAAAAGTTTTGGGGTCTGGGTTTGGATTTCTGGGATCTCTGGAATCCCTGGGGTTGTCCAAGGAAAGGCTGGAGCAGCCGGGGATGGTGGAAGGTGGCATTTTGCTGAGGAGTCCAAAGGAGCAAGGAAATTCCTGGCAGTTTAAATATATATTTTATATTTATATATATTATATATTTATATAAAATATGTATTTTCTATTTATATCTATTTTATATTTATATATAAATATGTATTTTGTATTTATATAAAATATATATTTTCTATTTATAGATATTTTGTATTTATATAAAATAATATATTTTCTATATATATTTTCTATTTATATATAATATATATTTTCTATTTATATATATTTTATATTTTCTATTTATATATATTTTATATTTATATATAAATATATATTTTATATTTATAAAATAGATCTATCATATATCTGTTTTATTTCTATCTATATCTATATCTATATACCTATTTACCTATATATCTATATATATCTATATATCTATATATAGATATATATAGATATATAGATTATATATAGATTTATAGATATATATGGATATATAGATATATATAGATAAATAGATAATAAATTTATATATATAAAAATATAGATAATAAATTTGTATAATGTATATATAATAAATAGATAAATATATATATATTTTTATACATATATCGATATGAGTAATAGAAAATACACATTTATATTTATTATAAATATATGTATATACATACATATATATAAAATATAAGTTATAGATATATTTTATAATACACATCAGATATATATTATATATTATATATTATATATTATATTGTATATACTATATATACTTTATATAATGTATACATATATGCACATTATAATAATATATAAATATATTAAAATATATATGTGCATATATAAAATATAAACAAAAAATATAAATATATGTGAATATATTTATGTATTACATATTAGGTAAAATATTTCTATATATTCTATATTTACATAAATAAAATTATATATCATTATAATGTATATATGAATATATATTTATAGGTATAAAAATACATAAATTTATATTTAAATATATATAAAATTATAATTATACCATACATATAATATAATATATATAATGATATATATAATATATATAATATATATAATATATAATTGTATTTGAAAAAAATTTATATTTATATTTATATTTATATTTATATTTATATTTATATTTATATTTATATTTATATTTATAT